CGGATTGTGTTATTATTATTTTTATTAATGAGTAATGTGGAATGAACAAATTAATCACAGCTTAGTGTTCATAAGGTAAGGCACAAAGTTTTTTCTGACACTCCTTCGGAACTGTCCTTGTGATGTTTTGATGTCTGCAACTCGAACAACGCCGTCTGCGCCTGGATAAATCTTCATAACTCAACCTAAGACCCACTGTAGCGAAGGCTGGTTCTCATCCGACAATAAGACTATCGTGCCCACTTTTAAATTTTCTGCTTCTGAAGTCCATTTAGTTCGGCTCTGAAGATGATGAAGGTATTCTCTCTGCCATCTCTGCCAAAAATGTTGCTTCAGCTTCTGGACATGCTGCTATCTAGCCAAACGATTGTCTGGAATCTCGAGGTAATTTTTTTAAACAGGTTCTGATGGTGAAACCCCAATCAGGAAGTGGGAAGGAGTAAGAATTTATATTTCGTTAGGGTTTGAGGGTACTGGCATGAGGGGACGAGAGTTTAAAACTGATTCTATTTCAACGAGCAGAATATTGTACTCTTCGAATGTATAAATCAATCCTTTTGTTACTGTGTACGAATGCCTTTTAACAGACTTTACTGCGGCCTCCCATAAACCGCCAAAATGGGGTGACCTTGGAGATAAAAATTTTCATTCGATCCTCTGAGCTGCTAATATTATTTGCAATTCTGGGTTATGAATTTTCAGGAACGTATAGATATCTTCGAGTTCTCGTGCTGCTCCTATAAAATTTGTAGCGTTATCTGAATAAATAGTAGAACAAAGTCCTCTACGACTTATAAATCGCCGAAGTGCTGCTAAGAATGTTGCTGTAGTCAGATCGCTGACCAACTCTAAATGTACTGCTTTTGTTGCAAAGCAAGTAAACACGGCAATATAACCTTTCGATATATGAATCTGTCCTCTTCTTCGACTTTCTCTGACCTGCAAGGATCCTGCATAGTCAATCCCTGTGATCGCGAAGGGCTTAGAGAATATATTGACTCTAGATTCTGGTAGGTCTGCTATTAAGTGTTCTTGTGCTTTAGGTTTGTACCGAAAGCACGGCACACAACCACGTGTTACTTTACGAACCTCTCGTGTTCCGGGTTGAGGCCAGTATCTATTGTGTATGGAACTAAGAAGCTGCCGTGGACCGCAATGTAACAATTCAACGTATTCTTCGCGGAGCAGTAGCATCGTTATATGATGTTTGGCAGGAAGGATGATGGGATGTTTTTGCTCCTCCGAAATTTTTACTTTGTTCAATCGCCCTCCTACTCTCAGGAGACCCACATTATCTATGAGTGGTTTGAGATTGATTAAAGTGCTCCGATTGTCGATTATCTTCCCGGCCCGCAAATTTTTAATCTCTTTCGGAAATGCTTCCTCTTGGGTCCATTGAATTATTTTGTTCAGGGCTCTGTCGAGTTCCCCTACTGTCAGCGACCCTGTTTTCCGAGACTCCTTTCTGCAAAACGAAAACAATAAGCGACAACTTTTTGAAATTTCGTGATCGATGAGAATTTTCTTAAAAGGTCCGTCTGTTGGAAGGTCGAGTTTTTTGCTTCGCATTGCTGAAGCGTCGCTCCCATGAATAAGTTCTTTTGCTCTGGAATCTCTGATGGAACTAATGTATTTTGATCTGGCTAATTGCCTCCTGAAACGAGCCATGGGGGGCCCTCTCCACCAAAGATCTTACGATAATAATTTCTCCGGTGAAATTCCTCTAGACAAGATGTCTGCGGGATTCTCTTTCGAGGATACGTGTCTCCAACAGGACGTATCTGTTAATTCTTGTATCTCAACTACTCTGTTGGCTACAAAGATTTGGAGGTTACTTGGAGGTGTCTTGATCTAGCATAAAGTTATTGTTGAGTCACTCCATAAATAAACCGATTTGATTTCGATCTTTTGTGTTTTTTTAACAATAGAGATGAGTTTTGATAGCAGTAAAGCTGCACTGAGCTCCAAATCTTGGTAACGTTAATGTTTTAAGAGGTGCCACTCTAGATTTAGAGCACAGAAGATTTGATTATATCTCATTGTTTTTGTCTCTGCTGAGCACGTAAATGCAAGCTCCAAAACCTTTCTCCGAAGCATCGCAGAATCCATGTAGTGATATGCTTTTGGAGGGGTTCCCTGGATTCGCGTTTCTTTCGACAGCTAGATTCTTCAGTTGGCCGAATGAGCTGTAGAATATTTCCCACGTCGACTTAAGATCGCTTGGAATTTCTTTGTCCCAATCAATGTTAAATTTCCAAAGTTGCTGCATGAGGAGCTTTGCGCTCATTATTACTGGGCCTATCATTCCCAACGCATCATATAGTTGTGCTATTGCAGATAGCATTTTTCTCTTTGTGACTATTGGAAGCTCAGGCAAATTGATTTCGTATTGAAAATAGTCTTTGTTGCTATTCCATAGAAGTCTCGAAGTCTTGATTATCGATTAATAGCTCGGATTCTTGATTATCGATTAATAGCTCATCTTCCCCTCTTGCTTCTGTTAGAGATTCCAATATCGTAGGATCGTTTGCTCTCCATTTGCGTAAAGGAAGTTGAGCACTGTCGAAAGAATCTCCTAACGTGACATATTGTTTTTTCGATAACTCTACTTGAAACCTGCCTTGCTCATCTCGCCGGTGTGTCGATCTAAAATGCTCTTCACAGAGTTTGTCTTCTTTGCTTCTAGTATGTCGAACTCCTAACTCTTCTACTTTCCAGAATTTGTCGATTTTGTCCAACTCTTGCGATGTAATTAAGTGACACGTCGTAACTCTTGATTGATTATTTCTAACCACTTGTTCGCCTCCGACTATCCATTCTAAACAGGTGTTCTGCAAGATGGGTTGATTGTGTCTTTGAATAGCTTCTCCCGGTTTCAGGATTCTCCAAAAGAGTCCCGCACCGATAAGAACATCGATGGAACCTGATCTTTCAAATTCTTGATCTACTAAATTGATATAATCAGGAATTGCTAACTTTGCTCTGTCTAAATGAACTTGTGGAATATGCTCAGTGAGGAAGTATTAAGCATTCTAACTCGGCTGTAAAACCCGATGTTGTCGATTCTAATTTGATTTGTATTGACTTATTGATCATAAGCTTTGACTTATTGACTCCGCTTATGAGTATCCTGATTTCCTTACATGGGATCCTCAATTTATTGACTAGGTCTCTTGTTATCATATTGGATTGAGACCGTAGGTCTAATAAGGCTCTGCACTTATGTATGTTCCCATCAATGTCGTTTATGTAAACCTGCGCTGTTGAAAGGATTACTTGCATTGTCTGTCTCAGAATACAATGTGTTGTTATTTGACAATCTCCATCCTTTTCTTGATTCTGGCTTACATCCTTTTGTAAGTTTCTTTCTTGTGTACTGACTGTGATGAGCTGCTGAAACAGCTCCTGCTTGGCCTGCTTCTTGATTCTTCCTCTCCGAGGTCTCCTTTCGAGCTTACTCTTTGTGTAACAAGGTGTTATGCTTGAGATTACACTTCTTGCATGAAGATGCCCAGCATTTTTGGTTCACGTGTCCTGTTTTAACATAGTTATTACACAAATTCTTTTGTTTTATTTCCGTATATCTCTGTTGTGGGAATAATTTCAAAAACTTCTCACATTTAAAAATTGGATGAGAACCCGCGCAATGAGGGCATGTCATTGCAGTTGCTGCTAACATTACTTTTTTGTCTGTTTTCTTCCCTATTGATGTTGACTCTGTTTGGGACTTGCCTTTATCTGTCATTTCGAGCATTACACAACGCTTCTCCAGAAACGCCATCATTTCTTCCAACTCAGGCAATTGATCGGTCTGTTTCGGGCTGATTTCCTTTTCCCATTCTTCTCTCATTACACTATCAAATTTGTTCGTGATTAAGTATATGATAACAGCGTCCCAATGCTGTACTGGCAATTTTAAAGCTTGAAGCGAGCAAATGTGGGTCCGAACTTCGTCGACCAAATTCCTGAGGTTGGCATGATTTGACTTTGCGACAGGAGCTAATTCAAATAGTCCCTTTAGGTGCGTATTGACTATTAATCTCGTGTTTTCATATCGCTTTTTGAGTAGCTCCCAAGCGATGGCGTAGTTGGCATCCGAGGCTTCCAATGCTGCGATAACCTTAAGGGCTTTATCTCTTAATAAACCCTGAAGCAATTGGAATTTTTGAAATAAGGAAGATTTTTCTTATGGACTCCTTGTGTAAATGCATCTTTGAATGTGAGCCACTTGTCGTATTCCCCAAGGAATGGAAACGTTGAATCGTCAATGGTGCGAGTTTTAGTTTCACTGATTGCTTGTTGTTCTTCCTAATGCTTGAAATTGTGTCTATAGTTCTGCCTGTAATGCGGAGTCTACAATAGAAGTCGTAGCAGTCGTAGGGTCTTAAGTTGTAGAAAATTGACCAATCAGTCGATTATTCTTCTCATATTAGACTGTGATTGGTTAATTTTCTACGACTTCTATTGTAGACCCCGCATAATTGTGAAAATTGATCAGTTCGTTGAATATTGGTTTCGTTTAATTTTTCTCCTACTACAGCTAAAACTTCGTAATATATTTGCTCGTATTTTTCTCTGTTTAGCACATGTTCCTCAATTGCCTTTTCTTCACGTAGGACGTATTCTATTTCTTGATGTACGTCTTCAAACTCTCGCTAAATACTGGGTGCTTGTTCGTAACGCTCTTGTAATTGTGAAAGTTCCCTCTGAGTTGATTTTGCATAGCTAAGAAAATTTGTTAGCTGTCTCTTCAATGTAGCTCGTCTGATATTTAATTTTTTATCCATGTTTTACTTATTTTATTTACAATAACGTATAATAAATCAACCTGACTAAGACTCCTTATAAATAAAAAAACAATGAAAGAACAAGGGCAGTAGGAGTCAAGCGCGGGAGACGTTGCGCAAATAACACGACTATCGTAGCGTGAAACTTCTTTATTTTATTTAAGCGCTTACATGTTTCGGCTCATTTTTGAGCCTTCTTCAGAGATAACTAATAAATTTACATACTTTACATATAAAATAACAATTATTAACTAGTCATGGTGATCTTCCTCACCTCGAGAGTATAAATGCCAGAATTAAATCCAGATAAGAATGCAGTAAAAAAGAAAAAAGGGGGGAAAGAAATTTTGAAATTCTCGAAATAAAGAAAATGTAAAACTAATGTATCAAAAAATTTTTGAAATTATAATTAATTATTCCGATGGTTAGGAAGCTCACCTTGATCACAAGATACCGCATCGCAAACATTACTCTTAATACTTCAAAAACCGGTTTCTGATAAGTTGGCCAGTCAGTGTCAGACACAGTTAGTCTCTTATTGATTTAATTGGTCTTTATTGAGAGTAATTAGAAACAGTAATTAGAAAACTAGCGTTAAAAAATCAATCAAAATCAAGAAAAAGTATCCCCGAAAATGATCTAAAGTCAACGCCCGACCGACTTCTCCCTGTGCACGAGCGACACTGACTGACTTCTTGATTTTGATTAATTTTTAGCCTCAAAAATGAGCCGAAACATGTAAGCGCTTTAGTAAAATAAAGAAGTTTCACGCTACGATAGTCGTGTTATTTGCGCAACATCTCCCGCGCTTGACTCCTACTGCCCTTGT